TTGCTGAGGTGAGCTTCTGGCAACCTGACACTCATTTGACTCATGCTGAACTTGTAGCCAAGTGGAGTCTCTCACAGCTGATACTGTTTAATCATCTCTTTCCTGTTGACTTTGGTTGGTTTGGGGGTCCTCAGAGCATGTCCAGACATCCTTCATTCTATTTACAGCTAATATCCGCCAAGTTCCCACTTGTTCCGGGCACTGAGCTAGAACTCCATGTGTGAAGTTTCTCTTAGTCCTTAGCATGTGAGGTTGAGACTTTTATTATCTTTACTATACAAAAGAAGGAATGATGGCAGGGGAGGTTAGGTAAGGTAACTTATCTATAGTGTCACAACTCACAAGTGGTGGAATCTAGATTCAAATGAATATCATGCACTTTCCAAAGAGGAAAACTTTGAAAAAAATAACATTGTAAAGACTGTAAAAACCTGTGTCTATGAACACTCATGTCCCTTATATAAATGGCACAGTAGCTGCCCCTTCTGTATTCACCTGCTGTGTACATAGCACAATATACACACCACTTATCACACACTGAGGGAATAATGGCAAGAAAAACAGCCATTTTCAGTAGAGAGTAATTTTTTTCTTGTTCATTTCAGGTCTGTGCTTGGTTGACTCCACAGCCATAGGTCCACTGATATGGAGTATGTTTGGACTTTGAAACACTACATTGAACTCTACAATCCACACAGCATCATCTGGTTTCCAGATGTAAAATGTAAAATGTTCAACAGAGGAAATAAAATCATTTTTTTCCCAAATGCAATGATTTTTTCTCCCATTTGACACTGCTGATGTTCGGAACTGTATAGTTCTTTGTTGTTGGCGAGGGGTGATGTCTTTTGCATTGTGGGGTGTTTAGCAGCACTCTGCCTTCCTCCTGGTAGGTTCTAGAATGACCTCCCTGTTCCTACAACTGCAGCAACTAATATTCTTTTCAGCCATGGCTTACTGTTTTCTGGGAAGCAGATCCCCAGCTGACTTCTGGAGAGCTCATGGTGTTCCCTTTTTCTAGTTTTCTTTCTATTGCTGTGATAAGCACCATGACCAGTAGGAACTCGGGGGAGGAGTGGGGAGGATGGCTTACACATCCCAATCACAGTCCATCATAAGGGAAGTCAAAGCAGAAACTCAAACAGGGCAGGAACCTGGAGGTAGGTGCCATGGAGGAATGTTGCTTACTGGCTTTCTCTCCACAGTTTTCTCAGTTTCCTCTCTTATATCACCCAGGACCACCTGCTAGGGTGGCATTGCCCGAGTAGATCATTAATTAAGAAAATGTCCCCATGGACATACTACAGGCAGTCTGAGGGAGGCAATCCCTTAATTAAGGTCTTCCCAGATGACTTTAGTTTGTGTCAAGTTGACAAAACAGCAAACAAACAAAACAAAAAAAACTATTCAGCACATCCATGATATCACTCTGCTTGTCTAAGCCCCCCGCTCCACACTACAGTGTTCCACTAGATTTTGATTCCTTTGCCTTATAGTATCCATTGTTTGTTTTAGGGAAAGGGACTTTGCCCATCTCTTGTCTTGTTTTCTTTTTTCCTGATTTATGGAGTTCCCTTAAACCCCAGACACACTCAGCCTTGTGCAGCTTCTCCATGTCTTCTTGGAAGCTTGATTTTGCTCTCCTTGGTCCACTCTTACTCATCACTACTATTGATCACTATCTACTTGGCTTTCCAAGTCAAGTGTCATCTCATTGAGATGCCTTTTCTATGTGTTTTGGGAATTAATCCATTATGGAAGTGTTATAATCACATTGTGCCCTGCTCAGAGTATTTCCATATTTGGTAAAATAGTGGGCTTTCAGGCTAGGCTCTGCTTGAGAGATTCCACTGTGGTAAAAGACTCCATGTCCTAGGTGGGAGTAAGTACTTTCCTTTAAGTTCCACATTCTCACATCATCTTCCATCATGTTCCATGCATAAATATTGTATATTTATTTACATTTGAGATATCCTCTCATTGGGCAGCTCAGGCTAGCCTTGAATTCATGAACCTACTACCTTAGCCTCCTGAGTACTGGGATCATAAATGTCATCACACCTGGCTTTATCTGTACTTACATAGGAGATGATCTCCATAAATTTTTTTGAGGGCAAGGACTGGGTCTTAATGATCCTCTTACCCCCCCCTGTAGTTTAGGCACTTGTCTGTGGATGTACCACAGGAGTACATATGTATGGGTCAATGACTATAACCTGCTGGGTCCTGAGCAAGCTTTGCAAACCATCAAGGTCACTGATAACTCCTTACTAGGTGTCTTTAGGGCATGCTTTCCCTGCTAGCATGATGTCCCTGCTAGATGGGTGTCCAACCACCCATCTTCCTTCTTAGGAGAAGGTACAAAGACTATAAGAGATACATGTGTTGTGTTCTTTACTCTCTCAGCGTGAACATGATGTCATCTCAGTCATCTTTCCAAGACTGTTCCTTGTAAGTTTTCTAATTTCAATTGTAAGAAGAAAAGCCCCATTTTCCCCATGTCAGCATTATTGAAAACCTGTGTTTGTTTTTGCCTGTGTTAACTTCTTACTTTGGGGGGTTGACTTCTTGACTTTTAGATCATCATCTGTCTCTGTAGGTACCTCCTTATTTCCTTTTGGGAATTATTTTAAGTTATAGGGATATAACTAAGTCCTTATGTCCCCTCTAACTTTACTAGAGCTGTCCAAAATGGTGACAGTGGACAGATGGAAAGGATCAACTAGAGAAACAAGGGTCAAGTGACAAGCACTTGGTGACCATTTGGGCATGGAAGAGGCAGAGGTGACTTTTACATCTCTGAGTTTTTGTGCGTTTTTGCCATGCTGGAAATAGAAGATAACCCAGGGCCTGGGATGTGCTAGCCAAGCACTGTATCCCCAAGCCATCCTTGCCCTTTGATTTTGGGTTTGAAAGAGATAGAAGTCGCAGGACAGGAAAAATATGAAGAGGAGGTAGAGAGATAATAAATATTGTTTGGGTGTGTTTCCATGGAAATAAGGCTGCAAAATATGGGAGGTAATTTGAGATAGGAACTTGATTGCATATCCAGGAACTATGACTCCGGAGGCTGTTGACATGAGGATAGTAGCTGAAGCTGAGTGAGTTAGTGGGAGACAACAATGTGCTTATGGAATGGCCATGGTCAGGGGTGGCACACAAGAATTTGCTCTTGAAAGAAACTGAAGGTATAATTAGTGAAATTAAAGGAAGGCAGGAGAAGAACTTGAATCAGAGGCTGCTATAGAAAAAGTTTGAGGATAGAAGGAATGCTCAGAAAGCTTAAGTGATGTAGAGACATCAGTTCAGGATGGAAGAATGCCCACTGAATTAGCTTGAAGGCCATTAGGAACTATGAGGAGGGCACTTTAAACCAGATTGTAGAGATTGTGGAGGGAGTGGGAAAGAAGGAATAGGCTTCTATAAAGGGATCTCCTCTGTTCACCAGGCCCCACCCCAGGCCCTGGGATATAGTAATGGGAAAAGAGGCAAAAGTTTCTGTCTTTATTCTGTGTGTGTTCTTAGGAGTCTGTACAGAGGCATTATGGGTTGGATATTAAATGCCCTTCCCAAAGTCAAGTGATGAAATTTTGGTCCCCATTACAGCAATTTAGAAGCAGAGGCTTGTGCCGTGTGCATCTCTGTGTGTGTGTCTGTGTGTGTGTGAGTGTGATTGGATCAGGAGGGCTCAGATCTCATCAATGGATTCATAGTTTAATGGACTTCAAGGGGGGCCAGTTTTGCTACACTTTCTATCAGTCTCTCCTTTTCTCTTGATCCTTCTCAGTTGCCATAACATAAGCAGTTTTGATTCACCACACCTCCATCATGATGAACTGTGCCAATATAGGCCCTCAAACAGGGCCAGGAAACCATGAATCAAAAAATTCAAAACAGCCCAAACCATATAGATAGAGAAACAAACTTTATAAAGGTGATTTTCTTATGCGTTTTGTGACAGAGACAGTAGGCAGATTCATATAGAAAGGCTCATTTTAGAGGCTGTTTTTAGAATCTTCATCTAACAGGTGAGGAAGCCTAAAGAGGCTGTTACAGAACTTGCGCCGCCACCCTGCCTTGCTTGACCCTGACCCTTTACAACTCTCCTTATACCATCTGAATGGGATGATCACAGGTTGGAAGACACCATAGGGCAGCCTGGCAGGTAGAGAAGAGTATAGGATGACGAGCAGAACTGTCCAGCTGTCTGAGGTGGTCAATGCAAGGCTTCTTCCCCCTTGTCACTTAGCTCTTGCTGAGGCCTGAGAGGTCTACTAGAGTAGCTCTCCATCGCTCACAAGTCTAGGACTGGATTTTCCTCTTTACTGGGCTGACCTATCCTTATGTCCAACTCACTGGAGGCAGGTATGTGAAGCCAAGTAATCTTTCATGAAATCTGATACTGGAAAGAGAATTTAGCCAACTGTCCCAATGGCTTGAACAAATGGATGAGTGTTTTCCCAAAAACTTTGATACTTGCAGCTGAGAGGCTGACCAATCCAGATTTCCTGGATGTCATCTGAGACTTTAAAATATACACTGTTTAGTCTGGTGGAAGGTGACTGACTCCAGGGGTTCCAGGGGCGCCAGGGGCCCCAGGGGCTCCTGATGTGCAGTTCTGTTAGCATCTTTATGGTGCTAGCCCAGCAGGTGATGGGGGGACAAATAAGACAGGAGCTTACAACATGGAGGAGAAGATAATAGCTACTTGGTACAAAAATATCATTGTTGAAAGGGCTGTTCCTTCACATCTCTTAAGCTATAACCACAGAGAACTGTGAGCTACAAGGTGATGCTCAGAGCTCAGGCTGATGGGTCAGAGGTAGTGCATACAATACAAGCTTAGTGGAATATGAGTTGAGAGCAGAGGGAGGAGGGGTGCAGATTCCTTTGGACACTCTTTCTTGGGGGACTGTGCCAAGTGGGGAGGGCAGCAGATAGTCTGGGCAAGCTGTGGTTGTATCGACTATGTGCCATGTGCATCGAAGCTCTTCTCATACCTTTCCCATGCCAGCATGGGCATGTCCCAGCTTGATCACCACGGGGAAGTGTGGGGCTGTGAGCTGAAAGACAAAAAAGGAAATCACTCATTAGTCATCTCAGAACATGGCCATAGAGAGGCTCTGGGCTGTCTGTTCTGTAAAAAGTTTCACTCATAGAATGTTGTCAGGGATCCCCACAGAATGCTCTGCAGGAGCTCACCCTGCTATGACTCCAATGTGACTTTGCACATCTGAACTCCCAGGAGCAGCTGGTCTGGGGGCACCCAACAGTCCATAGAGACAGAGGTGTTCCAGCCAACTGGCTTCAAATTCTGGATTTCCCATAGTGCAGCTGCAGGTAAAGTATTACGTGGATCCATGCCTTTTCCCTCATCTGCAAAATGGGCAAGACAATAAGTACAATGGGATGGTTATGAAATGGGAGAAATTCTTTTTTTTTAAGAAAATTATTTTATAATTTTTTGTGCATGAGTATTTTATCTACCTGTAAGTATATGCACCACATGTGTGCCTGGTGTTCAGAGGGGGCATTGGATCTCATGGAACTGTAGTTATAAATGTTTCTGAGCTGCCATGTGGATGCTGGGAATTGAATCCAGGTCTTCTAGAAGATCAGTCAATGCTCTTAAGCACTGAGACAACTTTCCAGTCCTATGTCAGGAGTTCTAAAACTGTGAGTTCAGAGAATAGCATTGTTTCTACCACACTTCTGCTTCCAATAATACTCTAGGTACCTGGAAAGTCTCATTGCCTGATATTAGCTGTCTTCAGGCCACTGCAGCAGTTCATGTCCACTTCAGTTGCTAGCATTTATCAGTTATACCCTCATAGGCATAGTGTTAGACAGCCTCACAGTGCTGGCTTCTTTGGAGCATCCCATTGTTTTGCCTGGCACTCTGTTGCATTGCCATCTCTCACATACTTCTAATCCCAATACAAGGCTGAATACAGAGTTCGGGCCTCAATCTGTTCAGCCAGCAACATTTTCTCGAGGTGTGTGAGTGTCCTTCCCTTTGATACAAATAAAGAGTGCTGGAAGGAAAGATTCTGAAAGGAAACCAGGGTACATGCCTGAGCTTTGATTTACTTCTTTCATGTCATTCCTATGTTGTTTGAAGGGTATTTGGATTGTAAGAGTCTATTCTGGTTTGTTTGAGGTCAAAGTTTATCTCTCCTTGATAAATAATAATCATCACATCCCCTTCTCTAGGCTGTGCAGATAGTGGTCTGTCACCCTGTCCTGGGTTGTTCCCAACAATGCATTTTTCCTTATGTATGAGGGGCCCTGGGGAAATCGGCTCTTCCTTCTCATTGTCTACTATACAGTCTTGCCCAGTGACTGTCTGTGGATCACAAGACTATCAAATGGACTCAATTGCTAACTTGATTGGATTAAGAAACACCTAGGAGATTAATGTAGCATACTCTGAGTGTGTTTGTGAATTTGTTTCCAGACATGACTAGATGTTCAGACGTTGACCTAATGGATGGTTCAATCCCTTGGTGAATTCAAAACAGGATGGCACAGCGGGGAAGCGGTAAAATGTCAGAGGTGGAGAAAGTGTTCTTGGGGACTATGTCCTGTCCTGGCTCCTCCCTATCAGAGTGCCATTCTGTTTCCTCTCCACCACAATGTTGCAGCACCGCCTCCCCAGGATGGACTGACCCTTTTGAAACTGTGAGCTAAAGTAAGTCCTTCCATGGTGTTCATGTCAAATATTTTGTCACAAAAATGAAAGAAAAAAAAAAAGCAAAGAGTAAGGTATATATCATGTCATCACATTCCCACAATGGCCTATTGGGGCAATCTGGGAAGGTATTCATTTATTATTATTATTATTATTATTATTATTACAACATTTTACAGATAAAAATTTGCCAGCTGAGGACTTAAGTTGGATTCTGTAAACCCCCAACTCAGCTTGAATAATTTCCCCCTTAATTCAGGCTAAATATTACCATATTCCTGAATCCAAGGTGAACCAATTTATTTTTTAAGTAAAGAAGTAATATTTTATTTTGATACCAAAGGCAATATGAACTCATAATTGGAAACTGCAGTAAATTGTTAAATATATATTATATGTATCTATAGTATATATAATATATACTATTATATATAGAAAGCAATAATAGTCATCCCACCCTAATCATCTGCTAGTCTGAGAAGAAAAAAGCCGTATAAGTGTTTGTTAAAATTTGTTCTGTTTTTATGAAATTGAGAGAATAGTGCATATCCAATTTTGCTTCCCACTCTTTCCACCTAATATGAAGTGATGAGAGTATTCCTGGTGGTTTCTGTTTGCTGGTTTAACAGTTATAAAATACTTCTCAACAGAAAGAGACTTCAAGAGCAGCATTGGGACATAAAGTTGATGAAACAAAACACTGTCCAAGCAATTGAAAGCCATGATGTAATTCTTTCCCTCCCACCCTAGAGGGAACCAATATATGGATTCTGTGCTTATTCATCCCTGCATTTATTTATAATCTTTATATTATGTAATTCCTAACAAACATTGTATATCTTTAAACCAGCTTTTGTGCTTCAAAAACATATTCTTTTATTGGGCCAGGCATTGGTTAGGCATTCCCTCAGTCTCTGCTCTAGCTCTATCTTTATTCCTGCACACCTTGTAGGCAGGGTAAATTTTGGGTAGAAGTTTTTGTGGGTGGGTTGGTGTTCCCCTCCCTTTACTAGGAGACTTGTATAGTTAAAGGGTGTCTTCTTACATCTCTATGGCCTCTGCTACTAGGAATCTCTACTTTAGTACCTTTCATATCTTCCCAGGAGCCTACCCTGACTTAGGTCTTCAGCTTGTCACAGAGATGTCCCCACCCTCAGTTTCTCTTTTCTCTACAGGCCTTCTGGATCAACCAAAGACCCAACCTTTGGGAGAGAGCACTATGAACAATACTCTGCTAAACTTGCAGGCAGGCGCCTATCGGAGTTGTCCTCTGAGAGGATCTACCCAGCAGTGCCTCAATGCACAGGAAGTCTTGTGGAAAAGTGGGCAGAAAGAGAAAAGGACCTGGAGGTAACAGGAGCTCCATAATAAAATAAACAGAGCCAAGTAACCAGGGCCTAGAGAGGCTTGATGCGACTGAAGTGTCAACCAAGGACCATGCATGAACTGGACCTAGGCCCTCCTACAAAGAGGACAGCAGATGGACAGCTTGGGCTTCATGTGGGTTCTCTAGTAAGGGAAGTGGGGACTGCATCTAACATAGACTCACTTGCCTGCTTTTTGATCTTCCCTCTGGTGAGATTGCCTTGCCAGATCACAGGGGAAGAGGACATGCTCAGTCCTGATGCAACTTGATGAGCTGGAGAGGATGGGAGAGGGGGTTCCCCTTTTCTGAGGAATAGGGGAGGGGGGAAGGGGAAGAGAGGGAAAAGGGGACAGGGAGAGGAGGAGGGATGGGGCTATAACCAGGGTGTAAAGTGAACTAAAAAAGAGAGAGAGATAAAAAGGGTCTAGAATAAACAAAAAACTGTACTATTTTGCAATTTCATACACACATGGACACTTTGAATTTATTCCCTGTATTTTTTATCTTCTTCCCTCTCCCACCAACCCCCTTTTTCTTCCCTTCAAGTCCATCTCCCACTTTTATGTCTTTGTATTTTTGTCACACCACATTTAATTAGGGTTGCCTGAAAGAGCATGGGTCGGGGAGCCACTTATTTAAAGAAGGCTGAGTGGCTGTACCACTGAAGAATATGGCTCTCCGACTTCCAAATTTTAACTGCCTACAGCTCCTCAGCCTTTTTCCTCATCCATAATGGGATGCTGATGGGCCCAGTCTTGTGCAGTAGCCACTGCTCCCATGAGTTATGGGGGTGCAGCAGTCATAATCACATCCTGAAGACAGCTTCTCCCTGTGCTTCAGCATTTTCATTCTTTCTGTCTCCCTGTCTGCAATGTTTCCTGAGCCCTATAGAAGGTGACATAGTTGTCACATTTAGGAATGAGCACACCAGTCTCATTCTTAGCATTTGATCAGTTGTGAGACCCTGTGTTGGCTGTGACTCCTTGTAAACAGAAGCTTTTCTGACCAAGGCTGGGAGCAGCACTGATCTATGGATTTAAGCATAAATATTTAGAAGGCAGTTTGACAACATGTTCATGTAGCAAAATAATTATATTAGATTCTTCCCTAGAGCCTATGACTTCTCCAGCCTTGGAAGACTACCATTTTATCCATCTGACCAGTGTGAGGCATCCATTGAGTGCATTTTCATGAGAGTTTTTTTGTTATCTGGCATAGTCATCATACCCAGCCACCACTGTAGTCTGTAGACAAACTCAGCAATTGAAAGATTGGAGGCTTTGCGTCTATCTTATTTGAAGGTGGAACTAGAGAGGAGGAGAAATGGGTGTTCTCTTCCCTCTGCCCTGTCCATAGTAGTCACAGTCTTCACTGGTGGGACCTGGAGGGAACATGACATGCCACTGATTCTATCACTTACTCTATGCTTAATTCTAGGCCAGATATTAGTTTTCCAATCTGCAAAAGGAACGAATTGTAATCAGCTTGTAGGGCTGTTCAGCAAGGGTGTGGTGGGAGAAACGAGGAGCACAAAGTATCTAGCTGAAAGTACTAAAACCACAATTATAAAGTAGAAGAGAGGGGAGGGAAGAACACACTAATTCTGGAAGTAAGGAGGAGAGGTACAGGGAAACTGGGTGATGGAGAAGGAGAGTAGAGGAACTGGTCCCACAGCACCTTCTGACCTGGGATGGAACAAGATGAAACCATAGTCCAGGAGAATCAGATGACCACACTGGGAGGACACAGTCAGGGGTGATGACAGTTGGGTAATGTCAGTGTCAACCCCTTGATCGTGTTGGATTGTTTTCATAGTGAGCTTGACACCAAAGGGATTATCAGTAAAGCACACCCTTGGAGGCATCTGTGAGGGCATTTTCAAAGTCAGATTACAAGGGCTATGACCTAAGCAACAGTTAATTAATCTTCTGATGGATTCAGATTTGGGGAAATATTATCTAAAGGCAGCAGAAACTATGGAAGATGGATGGGGTCTGGTGAGAGAA